TAGACCCTTGCCTCTTGATTTTGAACAACAAAATCAGGGGGTTGTCCAACATACACCTCCTCATCCGATGGACCATTCAAAAATGCTGATTTGACGTCCATTTGATATAAGGGCCAACTATTGTTATTTTCTATCGCAACAACTAACCGGATGGTTTCATGTCGAGCAACCGGAGCAAATACCTCATCAAAGTATATGCCTTCCTTTTGTAAAAATCCTTTTGCAACTAATCGAGCCTTATGCTTGATTATCTCGCCTTTCGGATTCGCTTTCACTTTGAAGACCCACTTTACACCAATTGCCTTTTTACCTCTCGGTAAGTCAACCAACATCCAAGTATTGTTTTTCTCAATCGATTCAAGCTCTTTCTTCATTGCATTCATCCACTTTGGATCGCTTAATGCCTCTTCTGTATCTACTAGTTCAGATTCGGCCATTAAAACAAAATGAATGAGATCACCATCGTTATTGATATCACTATCACAGAATACCTCACAACCTCGGAGTCTTTGAGGCATACCTCTCTGCCTCGTTGGTCGTCTACTTGATTCACCATTCTTTGTTGCGAACGGTTGCTATCCAGCATCATTAACAGGCTAAAAATTCAAATTTTCTCTCAGGAAATCGATTTCCTCATGTGGTAAATCAATTTCTGGGCCTGCATTTCGAATCTCAGTAGTTTCAAGAAGTGAAATTTCAGGCTGAAAATCGATTTCCCCTTTCTGGGAATCAATTTCCTGAACTGGTATAGCAGAAATTCTGTTGTCAAAAGTCCGAATTTCATCCACGATCACGTCTCGACTAATAGCTATCTTCTTGCTATTCATATCGAACAACTTGTAGCCTCCGGTAGGATGATAACTAACAAGAAACATTTTTTCACCCTTGTCATCTAACTTCTTTCGAAGTTGACCCGGAATATGTCAAAGCGCTACCGAACCGAAAACACGCAAATGACTCAAACTTGGTTTGAATTCGGACCATACCTCTTCTGGAGTAATCTTTTCAAGCTTCTTTGTAGGACACCTATTTAGCAAATAAGCGGAATTAGAAACGACTTCACCCCAAAGCTCTTTTGGTAAATTCTTCGCCTTTTGTTACGCGCCATGTTCATAATCGTCCGATTTTTTCTCTCGGCAACACCATTTTGCTGAGGCATATAAAGTAGTACAACCTCGCGTATTATACCCTCGTCATCACAATAACTCCTAAATTCACCCGAAGTAAATTCGCCTCCACCGTCGGTTTTGAGAATTTTGAGTTTGTGACCTCTTTGTCGCTCAACCATGGATTTGAACCGTTTGAACACTTCAAACACCTCATCCTTCCTCCTAATGAGATGAATCCATAGCTTCCTACTAAAATCATCAATAAACGTGACGAAGTATCGGTTGCCTCCATACAAATTGACTTGCATTGGTCCACATACATCGAAATACACCACCTCAAGGTGATGCTTGGTCCTATGACCCGCATCCTTACTGAAATTACTCTTGTGTTGCTTCCCTTGCACACACTCATCACATATTTCAGCTGGAATATTAATCAGTGGCAGCCTGGACACCATATCGTGCCTATGTAACGCGTCGAGGTCTCGAAAGTTGAGATGTCGGAGACGGTAGTGCCATAACCATTCTTCACGACTTGCAGCAGTAGCTAAGCACCTATGCTCCATAACTTTCAACTCAATCTTGAAAGTTCTATTGGCAGTCATGGGAGCCTTAAGGATCAAAACACCATTTTGGTCCAAAACGCGTAAAACCTTATTTTCCATGCGAACTGTGTAATTCCTTTCAAGCAATTGGCCAATACTTAAAAGATTACATTTGATTCTAGGAATATACAATACATATTTGATCAAGGAATGACCACCATCCCTTCTCATGATCAAAACATCACCGACACCATCGGCTACTAAAGTCGTGTTATCCGTGAATATCACTCTACTTCACGTGGCTTGATTGATCTTCACGAACCAATCCTTTCTACCCGTCATATGAGTCGAACAACTAAAATCCAAGTACCACTCATCACTACCTTGAACTCCATCTCGAACCGTTACCAATGCGTTTTTCTCCGATTGCGTTTTCTGCACTTTTTTGGTACTGCAGTAGTTGCTGTCCAGCAACTTTCTACTGCTGTCCATGCCATTATTCTCCTCCGTAATCACCACAAGAAGCATATTTTCATCATCCGTGTCTTTCCTAGCTATCTTAGCCTCATCCGCATCATTTTCCTTGCGTTTTGAGCGACATTCTCTCGAAAAATGCCCAAACCTTTGACAATTATAACACTTCATGGAACTTTTGTCGAGTGGTTTGTAGGCGCTTTGATTACCCTCTTTAGAGCTTCCTTCCATAAACTATGATGAGAATTCATCACAAAATTTTCTCCAAGAGCTAACGGAGTTGTCTTCAAAGTATAATGCCCCAAAACTCAAAGATTCGACAGTCAATGATGTGTTTGATGAATGAATTCATTCTATATCGAGTAGAGGCATGATCTGCGGTACCATGCTTGTTTCCCTTTTGAGAACAGTGAGAGAAAGATCTCTTAGGACAATGGTCTCCAAATGGTTTATGGATAATGTCTCCTTCCCTAGATTCATGGAAATGATAATTGTTACCATGGTGATGACGTCGATATCTCATTTGCAACTTTTTCACTCTTGTCGGTTGCTTCCTGATGTCGATAGGAGTTCCCTTGAAGTGCATGTTGAGAATGGCAAAACGGGCCCGACCCGCCATGCATTCCTATTTTTCCAGCATATCTTTTTTCCTTTTGAACTAACATTTTATGACTGCACCCTCTAGTATGCATGCCCTGACCACTTTTTCAAATTTAGACTTTAGGGGTGCAAGAGCCGTCGAACTGCCCCGCCCTCACTTCTTCGCGGGTTGAGAAGAAGTTTAAGGCTCTTAACCTGTACTATGCATTACCTGCCCCACCTTGGTTTTTTTCTCGAGGAGGGCCTAAACAAGGCGAACATGCCCGTTTTTCATCCTTAGTTCTCGTGTTGCAACGCTTCTAGTTGAGTTCTGATCCGAGTAGGATTCTTTTTCTTAATTCTCTTCATGCCAAAGGACTTTTACATTTTGTTTTTGTACAAAATTGAAGATTGTCAAAATGAGTTCACTTACACCATGTATTCTTAAGGAGACATGATGTTGTTGACTGTCACGTGAAAGTTCTGGTCCTAAGGATTGGAAAGGTGGAAAAGGAAGGTTGTTATTTTTGAACAATCAGTTGGGATATTGCGATCGAAGCTTTGATATCGATGACGCAAAGGATCTTCCGTTGGAAAGGTGAGATCTAGTGTTACGTTGTCTTGGAGGATCTGAATCGTCAATCTGATGCCAGGAAATGATTGTGGGGGTCAAGTTACTCTAGGACCATCTATTTGAGGAGATAATGAGGACATGAACAATATTTAATAAACATTTATAGTTATTAGAACAGTTAATATAAATAGATGTATATGAGCATTAAAGAAGATCATATGTATTTGATGGAAAGTTCGTTAGAATCTTAAGACGATTGGTGCCATATTATGTAGTGGAACAGGGAATGGATGACATGTTAAAGATGACGACCGTGGAAAGGCTTTTAGTACAGTGGTTGCGGTCTCCGCTAATCAAAGACATGTGGATACTTGCAATGTTAACACTTTAACGATCAAGTCAGTATTTGAGAAAGGTGAAATTGATGCAAGTATGAATGAATGAATACTCGGACATGACCCAGAGTGACACTTATATAAGGGTGACGATTAAAACCGCTTTAGTTGATCCAACTTTAATTAATAAGAACTATTGAGTGCATATAAATGAATGCGACGGGAACATGAGTCATGCTCCTATGCAATGCTCTAGAATGGAGGTCTACCTGTACCTCATTCCACTAAAATCCTTTAGCTAGATTCGGCCATTGGATTAAGTCGATTTCATTGGAGAGAAAAAATGAAAAGAAAAACGAGTCCTTAATATGACACTCAGTTATTTGATTATGATCTCATTAACAAGTCTATTTTCTCAAATAACTAAATTAGATGGTCTTAGTATCGTAGAAAAAATCAAGATCAAGAATTGGCCGTGAATCTTTTGTAGGTGTAAGAATCATTTTGCTTAATTTACTAACATGGTATGTCAACCCTCTAGTTTGTTTACTTAAGGGAAACCCTCCACTTTATATCTTTGTTATACCCTTTTACCAATCCTTATTTACTGATTTTATAATATAATATTTCTTAATTTATTTGATTCAATTGAACAAGATTCTATTGTAGGATCTTCTATGGTGTTGCTAGCATTAAGTGGTAGTTGTGTGATTTATGACATAGGAGAGGATACGCGTTTGATAAGTCTCATTGTCTCAATGTGTTTCCTGGTCCTAAGGATTGTCTAGTTTGACTGAATTGCTTTGATGTGATCATTCACAGCTCACACAAGGAATTTCCTTTAGGTCCTACCTACTTAATTCTTCATTTCATTTCAGTTCCTTGCAGCAGCATCAACATCATATGCATGCCCAATATATATCTATAAATCATATGTTGATATGTCACATCCTTTGTGGCATGCCATTAGTACCATTAATTGATTATAAACATGTAATTAATATATACAGCAATAACTTTCTTCATCTAACCTTCTTCCTTGGTATAATTAATTGCAAAGAGAGGCTTCAATGAAGCAAAGCACATGGCATGTTTCCAAGTCATATAATAAAATAAAAAATATTCACAATGTAACACAAATCGTTCAATATGTCCCATATCCAACTTATTAAGGTGCTGGCTTTTGTTGGAGGGTTTTGAAAGGAGACAACTTTTGTCCCCACAATTGTTTCTCATGTGACCGACAATCTCCTCTTACTTGACCTGTCTTTGCTCCCACTAAGTCCTTTTCTATTCACTTATAATCTTTATGTATATATAACATAACTAAACCCTTATTTTCTTACATGTTCAAAAAATATTCTAACCCTAAAGAGAGTTAGATATGGCAAGAGAAGGTTTAGGACTTGAGATAACTGAGCTGAGGTTAGGTTTATCATGTGGTGAGCCAAACAAGAATGAGAACAAGAGGAAGTTCTCGGAGATCGACGGTGATCGGAGAAGTGTCGATAAGAAGAACCAAGTTGTCGGGTGGCCTCCGGTGTGCTCGTACCGGAAGAAGAACATGAATGAAGGTTCGAAAATGTATATGAAGGTTAGCATGGATGGAGCTCCTTACTTGCGTAAGATTGATCTTTGTTTGCATAAGGGATATTTGGAGTTAGCTATGGCTTTGGAGAAGCTCTTTGATTGTTGTGGAATTGGTGAGTTATATATTTTTCATTTCTTTTTATTTCATCTTAAGTCTTTTCCTATTATTTGTGACACATGCAAAATATACAACATCTATACTTATAAAGTAGTTGGTAAAATAGTAAGGTAGATTGAAATACAGAATTCTATTAGATAAAGAATCTTGCTATTTTTAGTAAAAATATCATAAAATATTATCTTTATTCTCCTTTTATATTTACTATAAAAATTACTAAAAATGGTAAGAATTTTTCATCCTAAATTTTTTTTAAAAGTTCATATTAAATTGATCCAATAAAATATGTTATTGAAAAAATATTACTAATATATAGATCATTGATATTATAAACTAATAAACATAGTAAATATTTTTAATACGATCTATTTCACATGAAACAAACATAGTAATTTCTTAGGAGTAATTTTTGTTACTGTCAATATAAATTGTTTATTGTAAGTATTTCATCCGTTTTTTTTATTATAAGTTATTTTAAAAAATTGTACCAAAATATATGTTGATTTATAATACTAATAAATTATTAATAATATTTTTTTATATATTTTATAATTTTTTTTTTCAATTCCTTAAATTTAACTTTTCAAGATTATTAATGAAGGAAATTCTATAAAATTATGAAAAAAATATTTAATATTAATTACTCTTCTTAATACACACACACACACACACACATATATATATATATATATATATATATATATATATATATATATATATATATATATATATATATATATATATATATATATATATATATATATATATATATATATATATATATATATATATATATATATATATATATATATATATATATATATATATATATATATATATATATATATATATATATATATATATATATATATATATATATATATATATAAAAACCGGGATATGATGCTTTATGTTTTTTATAAAATAAATAAATGATGGTTTTATGTAAGTTAGGGTATTGATCCCAGGTAGATATTATTGTACAAGATATAGGATCATGAAGAATCTTTAATTTTTATAAAGTTGATAGAAAAATGGTAAAGTGGGAGACAAAGTAAAATGTATAATGATAATTAGACATTCTCCTTCTAATCTCATGCTGGCGTGCTGCTAGTGTACGTATAAAGTTCATTACTACCTCTTAATGACAAATAATTAACCACAACATTTATGCTACATTAACATTAATTAATCATAACACTTGAATGAAAACAAGGAACTAAAATAATAAGAGTATTGAAAATTAATTAAAATTTTATTTGTTGGCAGAAGAGGCATTAAAAGATGCAGAAAATTGTGAACACGTTCCAATTTATGAAGACAAAGATGGTGATTGGATGCTGGTTGGAGATGTCCCTTGGGAGTAAGTATTTTTATTTTTTTTCCTATAGTATTTTATTTAATTTGATATAATGCTTTATATTATACTATACAAAACAAATAAAATAAAATATTATAAATAATAGTATATATATGTTGGACCCCATATAGGAGACATGCGTGAACCTCTCATTATAATATGTTGAGAACATTAATTTAGAAGGAGAAACAATCAAAATCATGGCCTACCATGGAAAAGGAAAAGCCATTATTGTGTTATGGAAACATCAAATAAAGAGAGAGAGGAAAAAGCTTGCAATTCCTATAATGATCAAACATGAATATTTTCTAAAATAAATATTTAAAGCTATATAGTATAGTAATTAATTAATATTCACTTTTATGATGTGAAAAAAAAAAAACAGGATGTTTATTGAGTCATGCAAGAGGCTGAGGATTATGAAGAGGTCAGATGCAAAGGGCTTTGATTTGCAACCAAAAGGATCTTTGAAGAGATTCATATAGAAAGTGAAAGATATGTTAGGTTTCTAAACAATGAAAAAGAATGTTAATTTGGATTTTATGTTGTCTTTTTATTATATTTGAGATGCATTCCTTTATACTATAGTTTGATATGAATGAACTAGGGTTTATCATCATGTTTATTTTAATGTTTTATATATCAAAGATATATAGGATCAATTTTTATTATGGATTTAAAGGTTATGTATTGTGAGTGTTATTGAGTGAGTTTCTTCGGTTGAAGGGAAGAAATACCTTTTTGTTAGAAATTATTTGTATAAATTTGTTATGGTGAGTGCACATATGGAATATGGAATAGCCTATAGCCATTCTCAACTAATAATTAGGATCTACACCCCTTTTAAAATTATGGACTTGCTAATGAGCATACATTATTATAAATAATATATTTTATAATAATTTTTTATTATGGCTATTTAACAAATCATAACATATGTTTATTGGATATTTTTTATTTTTTAACTTATAAGTCATATATAACTACGATTCATTTAAAAAAACTATTGTGATATGTGAATCAGTGACACGCTTTAAATTGTCACACCTGCAATTTTATGTTTTTTCGTTAAAAAAATGTATTTTCTTAATTTTTATTTTTAAATAAAAATTAAATATTTTTTAGCACGGTCCATATTAACAACCGTGGTTAAATATTATGACATTTTACCATGGTTTTATTTATCAACTCTGGTGAAATATATTATCTATAAAAGCTAACTTATATCAATTTAGAACATACTATACTCAAAGGAAATTCTAATTCTCTCGCCTTATCCTAATCTCTCAAAACTCCAACATAACTTTTTCAACTATTATGAATCAAAGAAAAGGTTTCATGAATCTTTGCAAGATGAAACAAGTTGCTCATTTCTTTGTCTTCATTCTCCATGAATGCTTTCTATGAAAGATACGTTTGTGAATTAATTTATGAGTTGATGTTTTTGTTGTTCAAATTTCTTTCTTTTTTTAATCAAAATGTACGTGAAACATGGGATTTAGTGTTTTCTTGTCTTGTATATATTAGGTTTATTGATGTTTTTGTTGAGGTATGTTGTTGTTTTGTTAAGGAAATTTGTTGTTTATGTTAAAGTAAGTTATTTTTTTTATTGATAAATATAGTTGTTTGTGTTATTGTAGATGTTTTTCATTAGGTTTGTTGATGTTTTGTGGAGGTATGTTGTTTTTTTGTTAAGGTAATTTGTTGTTTATGCTAAGGTAAGTTGTTGTTTTTGTTGATAAGTATTGTTGTTTGTGTTATTGTAAATGTTTTTTATTAGGTTTGTTGATGTTTTTGTGGAGGTATGTTGTTGTTTTGTAAAGGTAATTTGTTGTTTATGCTAAGGTGAGTTAGTTTTTTGTGTTGATAAGTATTGTTGTTTGTGTTATTGTAGATGTTTTTTATTTGGTATGTTGATGATTTTGTGGAGGTATTTTGTTGTTTTGTTAAGGTAATTTGTTGTTTATATTAAGGTAAGTTGTTGTTTTTATTGATAAATGTTGTTGTTTGTGTTATTTTAGATATTTTTTTATTAGATATGTTAAAGTTTTGTGGAGATATGTTGTTGTTTTGTTAAGGTAAATTTTTGTTTATGTTAAGGTAAGTTGTTATTTTTGTTAATAAATGTTGATACTCGTGTTATTGCAGATATTTTTTTATTATGTATGTTGATTTTATGGTGGAGGTATGTTGTTGTTTTGTTAAGGTAAGTTATTTTTTTATTTTATAAATGTTTTTGTTTGTGTTATTTAAATGTTTTTGTTGAAGTGTGTTGATGTTTTGTTGATAAATACCGTTGTTTGTGTTATTGTAAATGTTATTCCTTGTACATTACAACTTTTCATTTTGTTCAGCCAACATGTCCTAGAAGGCGTGTTTATTATATCGTATGTGGTTTCAGTATTTTATCAACCCTTCACTAACTATATGACATTTCAAATTAAATTAGAAAATAATAATATGAGATATTAAGTTATGTTAGAAAACAACTTATTGTTATCAATGTTTTACGAGATTTTTGCAGCCCATTATTCGTATCTTTCTCTTTAACTATTAGAACTTGAGTTAATGTTTTTTGTTCTTCTGCTATCACTTCCTTCACATACTAGTTTTATCAGCATAGTAATTAATACTTTGTAGAATGAACTAGTAGAGAAGTAAATGTTAATTGAAGAATTAGAAACATTGAAATAAATTTTAACCGTTAAAGAGTAAAATATGGATAATGAGTAGTATAAAGCTCGTACAACATTGATTAGTGTAACTTGTTCTTATAATATAACATAATATCTCATATTAGTGATTTCTATGTCAGATTGAAAAGTTATATGTTTAGTGAGCAGTTGGTGAAATAAACATTCCACGTAAGTTATAATGAACCTATCACCAAGTTTAGATTCTATAATCGTGGTGAAATGTTGTGCGCTACGTATTTCACTACGGTTCGAAGGAACAACCGTGGTAAAATGTCTTACAAATATTCCAAAATGATGGCCATGGGTATTGAATCTCTGACCTCAACTTGTTATTATAGTTGTTTTCTACAATCTTAGTGATATGTTACTGTGCTTTTACCATGGGTACCAGCTCATGTTGGTAAAAAGGACACATACTACCACACTCTTCTTTACCACATACCACCATTTGTGGTAGAATCCTTCTCCTAATTGTGGTGATATATACTTTTTATAGTAGTGCTAAAAAGTTATGTAAGTATACACAATTTAATAAGTATTAAGTGGATTTTTAACTAGTGAGGGAGCAAAACACCGGTACTGCGTATAGAGAATGTTATAGAGAATGAAACTCATCTATCTATCTATCTATCTATCTATCTATTTATTTATCTATCTATCCATCTATCTATATATTTATCTATCTCTATATCTCTCTATCTATCTATTTATACATCTCCCTCTCTCTCTCTCTCTCTCTCTAAATTTTAGACATTTCTATTCCATCAACCTATAAGAGATAGAAGAGGTGAAGAAGTGTGGCGAAAAATAAGGAGGCATTGGAGGAAACTAAATCCAAGCAAGACTTGTTGAGACAACAATGAAAGGGAAAGTTACAAAGAAGAGAAATAGAAAATAAGTATAATTTTCTTATTCTTTAACTTATTTCTAGAGGACTATGGTGTAAAATAAATGTATGAAGAGTTACGGCTATAGGGGTATTGATGAAGTGGTCATTCCATAAAATAAAATAAAAAGACATAAGAGGAAGGCAATATGGCTTTATGAGATTTTTTGATGTTACAAACAAAAAATTTCTAGTTGTGAAGTTGGATAATATCTTCATTGGTCAGAGGAATATCTTTGTTAACTTGCCTAGCTTCCAAAGGAAGCAGACTCAGAAGTCACTACTATAAAAAGCATATACAACAACGCTCATCTTACCACGGTCCTTTTAAGGACCGTGGTGACATCTCTAAATTCGGACGCCAACATTTTCTTTTATTGTTTAATTAAAAATTATTAATATATTACCATGATTAGTTAGTCCAACTGTGGTGATATAATCAATCTTTCATAAGTTCGAATCTCAGCGTCTGAAAATAATTTATTTCTTTAACATTTTAGTTGCGTCTTTCTTTTTTATTTATTTTTAAATAAAAAATAAATGTGATATCATTACAGTTGTTTAAATCAATCGTTGTTGTAGATTTTCATTTTGTTTTAAAATTATTAAAAGGTTAAAAACTGGTGCTCCTTTATAAAATTTTATTAAGTAAATTATATATCACCACGGTAGTAGTAAGTGATCGTAGTGGTATCCCTTATTCATTTTCAAGTAACACAACTAACTAGCTTGTCTCTTCAGTTGCCATTTTTTCCACTGAGAAACGAAATAAGATGGTTTCAACCCTAACATTCATAGTTCATCGATCATTAACGAAACAAAACATGATTTCAACCCTAACATTCATCGTTCATTTTGATTTCAACTATTTTCATCGTTCGTCGTTGCCGTTTTTGCTCAAGAACTGTCATCACATTTACTTATTAATCACAACATAATCTCCTTTATTTGTTCATCACATTTTTGGTACATATTGTGTTCCTCATACATCTACAGTAACTTCAGTTGCCATTGTTTTTTATGTTTATATTTATGTTGCTGATGTTGAATGTTTAAGGTTATTGTTGTTGTTTTTTTAATGTGTTTGATCACATTTGATTAATATTTTGTTGTTGTTGTTGTTGTTGTTATTGTTATTGTTGTTTTTGTTGAATGTGTATGATCACATTTGATTAATATTTTGTTGTTGTTTTTATTTGTTGAGTGTGTGTATATGAGACATTTGTTTAATCTTTTGTTGTAGTTATTGTTGTTGTTTTTGTTGTTATTTGTTGAATGTGTGTATATGAGACATATGTTTAATCTTTTATTGTAGTAGTAGTTGTTGTTGTTATTGTTGTTATTGTTGTTGTTGTTATTGTTGTTAAATGTGTATGATCATATTTATTTGGTTAAGATTGGTTTAATATTTTATTGTTGATTTTGAACATATAAATGTTGTCTTCTTCATCTAGTAGCGACGGAACTTATACAGACGAAACTCATACAAATGATTCTCAAGACGGAAAGAAAAGAAAACAAAGAGGTGTCATAACAATGGTTCGACTAACAAAAGTCCACAACTCTGATGTGTTTCCTAGAGTAGTTGATGGTGATTGTTCTTTGCTTTTTAAGTTATATTGCGTTCTTTGGACCAATCCACAACAAGTTGAGATGCTACACAGACTTTTCTTGACATTCTTAAATTATAACATTATTTGTTTGAATAGGCCATGAAGTAATATGAAGCATTACATTCATCTTCAATACATTACAACTTTCACCATTGTGATGCATTCACTTAGCACCTTCACCAATGGAAGAAAAACATGCTCTTAATATATAAAGTGGAAGTCGCAAAAAGGAAAAAGAGTTGTAGCTATATAAGTTATTACTCGAAAGCCAAATATTTTTGTTGATGATA